ACATTACGTATTGATAAGATATCTAAAATATTTTTTTCTAATTTTATAGTTTGATTAATCGTTTAGAAAGTTTACAGCGCGAAATCCGAGTGGACCGCAGGAAATCTATAAGAAATATGACAGGTAACATTGAAGACAGTATATTACCTGTTATGAAACGTTAAAATCATTGCAAACTTGTTGATCCCCATTCTAGCGAAAGAAGGTTGGCAAAACTCTAATCAGACGTGAAGCGTGCCAAGCGATTGCTCGAAATAATCCAACTTTCTCTTGGCGATTACGTGATACTCAAATTACGATAAAAGTTAACGGTAATCATCGTGATAACTAAAAGTCAGGAGTTTCCGAGCTCGCTCGGATCAGACCGTTATTTCTTCGGTCGCTTTTCCACTGCTTTATCCTTAATCGCTCTTTCAGCCACCCGACATCCCTGTCTGGCGTGGCGCGATTCACCCTCGCGACTCGACGTAGCCAGGCGGATGGTTCCGACCGGGAAAAATAATGCATTAGAAATTCAGATGACCGAGAGAGGAGGTCGCGCCGCGATTTATCAAATAAAAGCGGTAGTACAGTCAAATACCCGTCCATGTCGTCAGTGGAAGCGACAGTTCATTTTTAATATAAAGCGTGAGCGGGGGCGAGATCTTCCGGGATGCAGTGACAAAAAGAATATGGCAACTGCCCTGCCGAGTCACCTATCTCTAGATCTACGGATTTACAATAGGAAATATCTAATGGTTTGCGAAAGTTATGGCTGTAGATAATCTATCACGTTAAAGACATATTTTGTTTGCACTGTGCCTAAGAGGTAATAGGTTGAACTGTTTCTTAAAATGCGAAAATGTTAGTCATATTACTAGAGTTTCTAAAATTATATATATATATATATATCAAAACATAAAAGATATTGAAAAAATAGATAACAATTTTTTCTATTGTCATGTGATCTTCGTGATCTGTCCACCTCTTCATCCATCATAACTCTCATCGTCTCTCCCTTTACTTTACGGCTGAAGTTCCTTTTAGATTCTCACTCCCATCCCATGTTAATGCTTAAACGGTTTATAAACAGTTTGGCAATTTATTAAACTGGCAGTCAGGATTCTTTAAATACAGATCATGAGAGATCAATGTACTCGCGTTATGTAATTTTAAACTTTGTTTTTAAATAAATTAGATATTTTGGTTATTTCTGTAAACAAATTTCTATATCTCGTCTAAATAATTGTATTTATATAAAAAAAATCATTTAATACGAAATTATGTATTTAATATTAAAATATTGCGAAGCAGATAAATGAGAGGATTATTTATGTTAGAAAGAATGTAAGTATTACACAAATAAGAGAAATTTAGTGAAAGCAGATTTTACTTTTAGTGAACGCGACTAAAAAATGTTAATATAATTTTTTGTGTTGTATATAGAATTAGCACAAATAATTAAAGTGGTTGCTAACAACGTCATAACTGGCTCATTTAATGAGAAATAAGATTTTTAAATGGCAACAAGATGCTTATTTTTACGATTTACAGTTGACCCTCTGGCATATGTTATCGTCTTTTTTGTAAATTTTTACACCTCCTTTCCTTTTACGAGTAGAATAACAGATATAGGAACCCTCAAACGTCTTTTATTTCCTGCTAGAAAGGGGAAAATACGAAAAGCATGGCGAGAGATGTCTATCTGACAATATCGTCGCCATTCTAGAGAGCTTCACCTTCGAACATTTGCATAAAATTATTATTGTCGCAGAAAATCGCGGTTGTTTCACTTTCTTTATGGAACATTGTCGAATATCACCGATTGGTTCGTATTATGTTCTTGATCGTATATGTATTACATATACGTAGATATATATTTGCATTATATTATATTATATATCATCTTCTCCATAAAAAGAAGACAGATTAATAATTTATTTAACCCGTTATATCGAATATTAATAATGTAAAAATCTCTCTTTATTCTAAACAAAATTATAACGTACAATTTACAATTTTATTTGGAATAAAAGGGAATGATAATAAAAAGGGAAAAAGAAAGAGAGAAATAGAGAGAGAGAGAGAGAGAGAGAGAGAGAGAGAGAGAGAGAGAGAGAGAAAGACAGAGAGAAGTATAACGATACGAACCCCACGCTTTTATAGCGCTCCATTTGGCGTAACAACGAGCGTGGAAACTTCTTTTAGTGCCGGGCTACAGATTCCGGGCCGAAACATGCGTACGATTATGGGGTTTCAGATTATCAATTTGTTATACCGTGTTTATTATTTGAGCTTTGTGCAAACGGGTGAGCCACCCGCATCTTGCTACTGAAATCCCTCTGCTGCAGCTGTGGAGCGTCATACTTAGACGGTTTGGGGGATAATCTGGAATATTTTATGCGGCGTTATTCTTCCAGATGTTTTGCGCCAATGTGCAAGTTGAAAAGATTGTATGTATGAGAACGTATGAGAATTACATTTCTTCCTTTCTATAATTCGTCTTGCCAGATTGAACGAACTCCGCATCGAATATTTGCAATCATCTCGCACAACGGTTGTTAACACTCCTCGCTGTTTGAATGGTAGCGGCTGTAATATGTATTTGTAAGCATATATCAAACATTGCGTATTACATATAACCTTTAATCTGCCGATTCTTTAATAAATTTAGAAGCAGTATAAAACTTGTTTATATCTATGTCACCAGTGATTTAACGATTAAAAATAAATTAATAATAAAATAATTTTTATTTCTAATATATATTATAAACAGTATTTTTAATCGGAAGAACGTGATTACCGCAGATTTATTATTTGTATCATCGAATATAAAAAAGATTATTTTCGGTGTATTTTATTATAAATTGAATTTATTTTTATAAATATTGTCGTTATAAAACTCTTTTCTCTTCCATGAGCAATGTTAGAGACAGCGGATTGTGGAATATCATAGTAGCTGGGATTTTCTAGGAGAGTTATCTCTAATTCAGTAAGGATTTACTTGCCAATGAATCTTTAAATTAGATGCTCCGTTCTTTTCGTACTGCGCTCTTTCCCGAAGGGTAAAGCCCCGCTCGCTCAATCACCTATATCATGGAATCGCCAAGTATAGTCAATTCGCTTCCACCCTTCTTTCGTTATCGAGTCTTTATGCCCTCCTTTCCCTCAGTTTCTCTCCGCTTACCGATATTTGTGTCTCGCCATAGGCTTTTAGAAAATCCACTCTTATATCCTCGCTCCCGTTATTTTCACTCCGTTTGTATAAGCTACATCGTAATTTTATTTAACAATTTCACGGACATCAAGTATCACCGCTAGACTATTAGCGACATCAAGTATCACCGCTATATTAATTAATGACGGAAACGCAGCCCGAGACGTAGTTTAGTAAGAAGCAGTTCGGCCACGAAAATGGCCGTCCCGCAGGAGGGTGTAAGACGAAGAACGGAAGATAGCGGCGTGAGGATGATGATAATCCAGCTTCTAGCCTAGTCCTATCCCGAGGGATGCAGGGATTAATTGACACATCGGCGTCTTGGAGGAGTCTGCTGGGTTGACGCCTCTGCTTTGGCACCCACCGACGTGACTGATGAGACGCCTGGAACAAGGCGTCGGGAAAAACACTCGTAGATTCGTGGCTTTTTTGTAGAAAAGGTATCCAGCAAGAATTACCGACGAAGCATGGAACGTCGGTCGCGCCTCTTCTCCTGGCAAATAACTCAACTAATCAGACCACGTTCTCCTTCACCGTCCCATCCGCGGCGTTCCCGAACTAAAACATCTCAGCTGGAGGGCACGTAGATGTAACAGATTGAAATTTAATACGAGCAGCATGGTGACACATACGAAAAGACGAGATGTTACTTAAGGTTTCGTAGGACACACCATCCTCATAACGGAGATAGCGCCGTCTTGGATAGAAATTCATTAATGAGGGTTCGACAGTTAAAATCGTAATAATGAGATAACGAGTTTAATTTCTGTTGGCTATAATTCATGGAAATTTATATATGATTAAAACCAAAGAGAAATGTACTTTTAAACAAGATAAGATAAATTCAATCAAAAGCTGAAAAATAAGTTTAATATAAAGTTTTTATTAATATTATATTGCAGCACTTATGTTTTAATATATCACAAGACGTAATTTTTGTTTTAATTATATATTTAGGAAATTAGATTCAAATTTTAACAGATATGCAATTTTTGTACGCTCTCATTGTGTTAGAAGTATAATTATAAAGAGATGCACGATTATTATATATAGGCTCGCAAATCACAAAGAGAGATGACCGAGGCAGCGCGCGATAAGGGATAACACGGTAGTTGAAAGCAAAGAGCCGACGTGTACGAGGCGTCGGTGGCGGCACCCCATGTGAGTTATGGCCGTCCCGACGCTCTCTCCCGCTAGTCCTGGGCTCAATTTACAGATGATTCCGCGTGTTACCGCCTGGCCAGCGGCTGGTTAACCTCCGTGCCAAACACTTAATCTTCCGACGTGTCCTGCGGACGGACCGACCACGTTTTGGAGTCGGCACGACGTTAAATCGCCGTTGTAGGCGCAAGATCGATGTGAGAAAGAGAGAAACGGGGATAGATAAATAGACCAAGACGTTTGTAGGGTCCCGGACGTTACCGAACGGTGACCCTAGTGGCCCATAAAGTTAGTCAACCCTTATTCGGATTGTATCGTTATCCACTATTATATGAGCTTCAATGACGCGTGGATATCATGTAATTCAACGTGTAAATTAACGCACATTAAAAATATATAGTTTACATATCCGTTTATTATTATTTATTGCATTTAATAAAAGTATAAGTAATTAAAGGTCTTGCAAATTTAATTTCACTATGCTAAGTCGGGAAAATATGTGTGCAGGTCACTCGTTTTCCGAACAACTTGTTAGCTATTGTAAGGCTATCGGAGACCAATAAATTTGTATCGTGAATCTCTCTATAAATTTATCGGTTGGTCGATTAGCTTCGCAATAACCAACAAGTTGTTGGAAAAATAATTGCTGCAGATATCTTTCCGACATAACATAGCGAAGTTGATTCACGATACGTTTATTTCTGTATAGAAATACTATACAGGATTTCATTAAGTGCTTTCATGTATATTAAATATAATAATAAATATAATACGTAAATGGAATATGTAGAACGTATTTTTTGACATATGACACATTAATTTTACGTGTAAATTATACAGTACATTGTAAATTGCAAATGCGCGAATTGTGCAAATTAAAAAGCATAATTCTGTCCAGAAGCTATGTTGACTTTCTGTTTTCGAAAATTTTACCCCATCTGGATGCCATATTTTCAGATGACATTGTTCAGATGACAATATATTATTATTTGCTATCTAAATATTTGTAAATGTCCAGAAAACTGTGGTATTGATAAGTTATGTGTTCCAGATGTGCCACATCGCTAGTAGGAAACGAAAGGCTTGAAACTGTTATTAGCCGTCGGACAGGCACCCCACGGTGAACCACAATGTAGCGGTGAGGAGTCAATAGACTCCTAACGTTGTAAATGGCATGCCGAATCCTAATGGCAACATTAATTGACATTCACGTTTGTCACTATACTTTTTTGACAAATTCCATTATTATGTTTGCATAATATAGATCTCAATAGAACTAACAAAGATCAGAAATTTATTTCTCTTAATTCTCGGTTCCCTAAGATTTTTAAATATAGTTTATATAATGAACATAATTTTTAATTAATAATAAAAAGTTTATAATGTCGATCAGTTCATCTTTTATTTATCTTTTACAATTAAAGGTTAAATAAATACTTGGTTTTAAAATTACTAATTATTAATTGTTGTTAATGAATAATAAGTAAAATAATTGGTGCAAAGTGTAATAATTTTTCGATGAATATATTATAATATTATAATTATAACGCGTTGTCTTCATAGCGATGGTAATTGAAAAATTTCCGTTTTTCATTATTTTTTTAAAGCTTTAATTTTCTTAAAACTGTTTTTTTTGCCAACAGTAATGTGATGACTTATGAAACACACACAGTTTTGTACAAATAAGCGAAAAAGGCCATATTTGTTCGCGTGACCGAATATGATTTTATTCGCTTATTGATTTTAAACATTCCTGAATTAATTTTCTTACTATTGTATTTAAATAATTTGGTGACTTACCTTGCTGATTACTTTTCCTAGTAGTTTTCTTCTCCTTCATCCAGGGATACTCAGGAACGTTGACACCCGAGGGGTCAGCGACACCATGGGGATCCATCATGGTATGATACGCGGGATGATGAGCACCAGGACTGATAGAACCACCGGTTCCCGGCGAGTGTGCTAGGCTACTATCCCCAGCTAATTGTGGCAATGCCGTCATGAATTCAGCCATGGAGGGCTGACTATTGATGAAGCCGGTTTCGGCGGATCCACATGTTGGATCCATGGCTGGATGATGAGTTCCGTGCGGGGGCAGCCCGGCTGGGGTACTTGCCCCCGTGGCCACCGTGGCCAGCCAGAAGCCGCCCCCTCCGTCGTTCGCCAGGACGGGTGTCGTCGGCCTCGTCTTCACGGTCGATAGCTCTTTACTCGCGTGGACCAAATTCTGAAGATGATTGCTGAGCTGCAGATTGCGAGAGCTGGACAATTGCGGTTGGCGCAGATCTTCTTCGGGATGTACCAACGTTTGTTGCTTGCTACGCATGGGACAATACGGACTTGTAGTATGCCTCTTCTGATAAATGTAGCAATCAGAGAATGACTTGTAATTAATTGTCGACCGTGGGATATTGACTAATCCCTTTTTCACAATGTCCTTTTTTGATGTAATTTCAAAACGTAGTGTAGCCTTTGAAAAACACCCTATGCACTTAAATTCACTCAATAAATGTCTCACTAAGAGTTTCGTTTATTCTTCAACTTTCAAAATGTATATATATATTTATCTATTTACGTATTTTTATATTAAAATATCGCATTGTCATTAACAGTGGAAATTCGTTAAGTTAAAATTTGTTTTTAAGAAGGCTAAAGAAAAAGCGTGGATGTGCTTGTATAGCCTATAACTTATTATTATCATTTCTTTCATACATTGTCATTAATATATGCGTGTATGATGCAAAACTTTATTCATTCTTTACCTTAATCAACACAAAATCAGTTAATTTTCATGCGAATTTTTCATGCGAAGCGTCGTTTTTCCTCGATTACACTTATTACTTACTTGCGTTATGGTTTATGCCAAGAGGTACATCGATCAGCAATTGGTTAATTACAATTGTTTAGTACATTTTCATTACACACTGTAATACTCACTATGATATATTATCATCATTATCGTAAACTGTATATCCGTATTCATCTTCTTTTACAGACTAACTGGAATAATTTATGTGTCTCATAATATTTAATCTGACGTCAACGAGAAGCAAATTTTTGAACCACGCTACGAACATGACACTGCTTACTCGAGGTCGACATAGCTCAGACAACAGATTCAATTCATAGATCTGCCATCTCAATACAACCAAGCACAGATCACCACTGTCACACGTAGTCGCGACGGGTTGATCGATAGTCCGACCGATCGACGGAGAACGCCGTGCCGAATCGCGCGTACCACGAGTGCTGTTACCGTGCCGATCGGCCGAAACCCAGACAAGCGGGCTAGGGTACACCAAGCCAGTCACCGATCGCGGTATACTTGCTAAGTGACGAAGGAGTGAGAGGATGTAGAGATAGTAGTCGAGGGAAGGTGGGGGTCCGACAAGTCCGTGGTGGAGGTACCTGCCGAGCGAGAAGGTGCGGCAGAAGAGGCGAAGGACGTCCCGTAGAAAGAGACGGCTGTCTCCAGTCGCCAGGACCGAAATTTCCACGATCTTTTTCGCCTCTCTGGTGTTCCCGGTGTCTCTGTTGTTACTGCTGTCTCTTTCCTCGTTCCGGGAGGGGGCGGCTGGGAGTCCACTTTGGCATCGAGGTGGAAGTCGTCCTTTAATGTGGCGGCGGCCCGATCACGTGACTTCGCTCGTCGGAATGGAGCGACCAATCGTGGAGCGGTAACGCGAGCGGTGAGGCACAGCCCTCCGCCGACGTAGGCGGGCTGGCCTGTCGTGGCGACGGTGGCCTTGGAGGGCTCGGAGGGCACACAGCCAGGAGGGTACGACGACCAGGTCCGTGCCGTGAGAGTGCAAGCGGGCGACTCTCGTGCGGACGAGCACGAGGCCCGTTTGGGCGGCCACGGTTACTCGGCGCAACCCGGCGTACTGTGGGCGGTACGCGCGAGCGCGTCGTTCTGTATCCTGCCGAGTGGTGGGGAATCTTCTCACGTGCTCGGCCACGCGGTCCTCCACCTTCGTTGGATGAGCCTTCGAATCAAGGTACGACAGTCTTTAACTTTTATTAACCCACGAATGATACTGCGAATTCATTGTCAAGCTCCGCATAAAGACCGGAAACGTTAAAAACAATTTGTCAAATTATTTATTCTCGATACATTCCATTTTGCCTTGGGGCCTCGTCCAATAATGGATCCTAAATGCGTTTGCCTGGGGCCTAAATCCAATAATCCTCCTTTCTCTTTTGTACTTGTTTTGTAATAAGAATAGTATAGGTTTTTGGTCGAATGCGAATGAAATTCTTTCGAGAAAAAAAATAATCTTTGGGTATGTTTTTTTTGGATGGAATGTCACTTTTGACATGACTCCACCTGAGTCAGGTATTATTCTTTCGGAATAATTCAAAGTTGTGATTTGTAATTGTAAAGCAAAATATCTCAGTGGCTAATCGTATTTTTATAAATCATATATGATTATCCATTAAGATATTTTACTTTTGTTACAAATTCCAGAATAGAAATTGGCCCAGTACTAGGACAATACTGACTGCTATAGTTCAAGTGCTGGCGCAGTATTGGTCAAGTACTGGATAATAACTTGGGCCCAATACTGGCAGATGATACTGACCCATTTTAGCCAGTCATTTGCATCTGCAGTGATGACCTAGTACTAGCTGACAGAACTTTGGCCGTCACTTGTCAGCCAATCATTTGCCAGTGATGGTCCAGTACTGATTGACAGAACCATTGCCATCAATTGAAAGTCGTAGCGTTGGCTAAGTGTTGGTTTCCTTGTAACTGCTGATGATTTGCTAGCGATTCTATTATATATAGAATAATGCGGTTACTTTTCTTTTTATGTTGGTCTCGTTTATTCATTTATTTATTATTTAGAGACAGAAAATGTCTCTCATAACACAAATCTCCAAGGGACATTCCAAAGAACATTCAGAGGATATCCCTATGTTCTAAAAACGTTCGTCTTAACGTCCCTCGAATAAAATGTGCTATTAGGGGGTGCAAACGCGCGATACAAGAAAAATTTTAACTATCGACTCATAATCAATTCATGTATTGGAATGTAAATTGTTATATTTGTATACATATATATTAATATCATGCAAATATGATATACAGAATGCTTCTTCAAAAGCGAATTTGGTACTGGGTAGGTTCATGGATCGAATGCATCCCGTGTCGTTATTGCAACGGTCAGAATTGCTAGGGGCGCGCCGACTGGCATCGCGACGGTTCGCTGTGGAGCAGTTTTGATGACAGATTACCCTGATCCGCTTTGTGGAGGAGCTTTCATTTAGACAGGCAGTTTGATTGAAAAGTTCACTGTCGCTACCGAAGAAAAAATTTGTGCCACTACCCTCATCGAGTGATCCGTACATAACAAGTCGTTTACTTGCGCTAGAATCGATCCCTTTCAGCATGAGACGATCACATTCATCGTGTTCTACATGTTGCAACAGTTAAACGGTACATTTATATGTACCTCACGTTGCACTAGAGTGACAAGGATAAAACTTGCGAATGTTTTTATATTCGCACTACTCTTTTTTAACTTTATATAAATTTTAATTTGATGAAGTCCAAGACTTGAAATAAATATTTAAAAGCAATGAAAATGATAAAAATAATTATACTATAATATTAATAAATAACGTTTCTACAAATTCATTGCCATTTAGCAAATCAATTTGATGTTGAAAGAACCACTGTGATTGTACAAATCGGCACACGACTTATTAACAATGCTCGTATGCGAATAACATACATCGCAATTTATACACTCGTTAATTTTAGTTTATTATATACGAATTTCATACTGAAGAAGATTCAAAACAAAGGATCGAACGTTTATGTACTAATTTACATTAAAAATAAAATATCATTCCCACCTGTACATCTTGCTGGCTCATACAAGTATAGGCTTATTACACACGTTATAGATTAATTTCATTTGAGCCTGTATCAAGAATTTTTAAAAAATAATTATGACAGCCTAATGAAATTAGAAATTAAAAATTAAAAAATTGTAAAAACGTTTAGAAAAGACTATTTATCAGTAGAACGAAATATATTTTAAATATTTTTGTATGCATGATAATCGTATTAATAATTTATTTAATTGCGTCAGTGGGTTAGAAGGAAATTTCTGAGGGGTGGAAGAGGGATAAGGGTGTCAACCGTTTCCGAGCGCGAAGCGGGCGCGGATGGCTAGAGAGGAGGTGAAGAGGGCGACTAAGCGGGAGGGTAACGGAGAGAGACGAGAGAACGGAGAACACCCTCCACATCTGCCACCAGATTTAACTATACATTACAGACACACGATATGTCAAAGTCCTATACTTCATATCGACTCTGCCATTTATTAAAAGTTTCATCGCGCGCGCCTCGCTCGCGCCACCGATGTTCGGCAGCCCGACCCCTTCTTTCAAGCGCACTGCGAAAACATATAGGAAGAAAGGCCCGAAATATACGAACGAAAAGTTCGAGAAAAGAGCGAACGGGGGGAAAAAAGGGGTGCGCGCGTTCCTCAGATCGACACAGTTGCAGCGCTTCGCGTGATAAAAGCGACTAACGCTATCTTTCTTCGGCGATTCTTTATTTTACTCTCTTTCCCGTGTAAGGTGGAGTTTCCCCGATAACGGATTCTTTGGGAGAACTGCGCAGCGATAATTTTCACCGTTTGAATCTCTACGTTCGTTTTATTAATCTCAAAATAATTCGCCGCTTTGCTCTCTGCGGCGTTTTAAAAATTGTCATCAAAATCTTTTCCATCTTAAAGCAGCATTACGTTGCGCTGCAATATTTTGTTGAGAATAATAAGTTATATTTGAAATAATTTTGCGCACCGCGAAAAGCTTAATGCTAGAAAAATAAGATTCTTTCGAGCTCACCCTTTTTGTGACGACCGCGGAATTTCTGCGTGTCGGATCTTCGTATTTCCTCCGGCTGCTGCCGATTGCGAAATGAAGTTTTATATTAAGCTTGGAGAGTTTTCTCTCTCTCTCTCTTTCTCTTTTATTCCGTGCGCGCGTCTCTCGCTCATTTTTTCCTTTTCTCTTGTGCCATCGCTTTTTCTCCCACGCTCGTCCTCGCCCTTTATATATTTACGTACCGATAGATCGTTATATCGGCGTTTGCATATATATTGACGTTGCTGTCTTTCCTGCGACGATGCGTGATATACCTGCTATAGGGTGTACGAAAAATGCGTACCTGCAGTTTTGCAATAATTGCGTTATGTAATTTTACCTCCGTTAATTATAATATATTTTTGGTTAATTTCAAAGAAATGTGTTGACTCTTACTTTGCCCGTTACTTATTATTATTTGTTTTGTATAGAAAGAGTCCTTCGATTTGTTATTTATTTGCAATAATTATCATTGTTTAAATATTCGTCATTACAACTGCTTAATAAGTTATAGTACTAGTATTATATATGGCATAATTAGACAATTCTATGATATAATATGAACGAAAATTCAGCTAGAATAATATTTTATAATGAGAGATCTGGAAGGAATTACTTGATATTTACTAGGTCATGGTCCTTCTTTTAACGAATTGCAATACTAGGCAAAAAGGAAATGCGTACTGAAAGTAGCGTTTTCCACCATTAAAAGTAAATCATCCTTCATCGCCATCTTAGCGTAGCAACCGGCACGAGTCCACGAGTAGGGCTCGACCTGTCAATCTCACCGGATCACTGAGACGGGTCTTTGCCGTCCTTGCTTCACTGGAAAGGAGAGCCTCGCTTTTCGTACCTAAAACTCCTCTCCCCACTTCGACCCTTCCAACTTTTTTCTTCTTCGTCGTCTGGGGTAAAAGCGAACTCGTTAGACTCCAAGTGAAATTTTCTCTCGTCCCGCTGGGTAGCTAGTATGCCACCGGAAATGCTATAGAGCGCCTACTTTCACTACCGCTTCTTAAATTCACCTTTCTTGTCGCTTATCACGTTGCTTTGAGGATCGATTAAAAATTATTGCTTAGCTTAATACGAAGAAAGTTTTGAGTAAAGATCAAGCTTTTATTAAAATGATCCATGCGCAATTTAAAAAAACCTATTACTCAGATAGACTTTCAATCTTCTCTTAAATAAAATTTAAAGATGAAAACTATTTAATTAGTTGTAAGTAGTATAGATTTAAACAGTCAATCATAGTCTGATGATA